TGCTCCAGTGGCTCATGCCTTCCTTCCTCAGGTGATTTTTCTTTGGGGAATTCTCCTTAATCTGTGTGCCAATAGGTTCATTTTCTTCCTTCCTTCCTTCCTTCCTTCCTTTCTTTCCTGTTTTCTTCCTTCCTTTCTTTCTTTCCTGTTTTCTTCCTTCCTTTCTTTCTTTTTTTTGGGGGGAGGTCTGGTCATGGGGCCTGAACTCTGGGCCTGGGCACTGTCCCTCAGCTTTTCAGTCAAGGCTAGTGCTCTACCACTTGAGCCACAGCGCCACTTCCGGCTTTTTTTCTTATGTGGTACTGAGGAATCGAACCCAGGGCCTCAAGCATGCAAGGCAAGTGCTCTACCACTGAGCCACCTTCCCAGCCAAGGAAAAATACTTTTTTTCTATATTATTATTTTTTGGGGGGGGGTCTGGTCGTGGGGCCTGAACTCTGGGCCTGGGCCCTGTCCCTCAGCTCTTCAGCTCAAGGCTAGCGCTCTACCACTTGAGCCACAGAGCCACTTCCGGCTTTTTTCTTTTTGCTTATGTGGTGCTGAGGAATCGAACTCAGGGCCTCAGGCATGCAAGGCAAGCGCTCTACCACTGAGCCACCTTCCCAACCCTCCTTCCTTTCTTTCCTTCTTTCTTTCTTTCCTTCTTTCTTTCCTTCTTCCTTCCTTCCTTCCTTCCTTCCTTTTCTTTCTTTCTTTCTTTCTTTCTCTCTTTCTCTCTTTCTTTCTTTCTCTCTCTCTCCCTCCCTCCCTCCCTTCCTCTCCCTCTCTCTCTCTCTCCCTCCCTCCCTCCCTCCTTTCTTTCTTTCTGCCAGTCCTGGGTCTTGAACTCAGGGCCTAGGTGCTATCCCTGAGCTTCTTTTACTCAAGGCTAGCACTCTACCACTTGAATCACAGCACCACTTCTGGCTTTTTCTGTTCATGTGGTACTGAAGAATCAAACCCAGGGCTTCATGCATGCAAGGCAAGCACTCTACCACTAAGCCACATTCCCAATCCACCAATAGGTTCATTTTCAAAAAACAAAAAATGTTTCTCTGGCTTGATCTGCACCAAGAAGGCCAGGCTCTTGGCCTCCATCTGCTAGTCTGGTTGGATTCTAAGCTTTCTTTAATCTCTTTTATCCTTTCCTCTCTTCACTTGTCCTGGCTGGAGTGCAATGCCAGGTGGGAACATTTCCTTCTTTCCACTTATGCAGACCTAACCTTTGGATTTCCAAGGTGAATATAGGCCTAGGTATGCCTTCTTTCTAAGGATTCTATGCTGGCATGAACAGCGTGTGGCTGCCCACGTATGTGAGCTGCAGAGCTGAGCATGTCCTTGAACTCACAGGTAGGAGGTGGCTACTTGTGAGGCAGGTTTACCAAAAGTTCAATTGGGCCCCTTTTGTGCTCACCTGGGTGTGTCAGCTACACAGTGAACCTATCGCATTTCCTTTGTCTCTTGCATCTTTCTTTCCTTCCCCCTCTTACCCTTTCTGAGAAGTCAAGAACAATGTAGCCCACTCTATAGAAAATAATTTAAAATTTTAATTAGCATACATTGCCCAGCCCAATGGCTCACACCTGTAATCCTAGTTCCTTAGTAGGCTAAGATCTGAGGATTGAAGTTCAAAGCCAACCTGGGTAGGAAACTCTGTGAGACTCTTAAGTTCAATACACTACTCAGAAAAAGCCATAAGTAGCACTGTTGCTCAAGTGGTAGCATGTATGCACACCAGTCCTAGGGCTTGAACTCAGGGCCTGGGCACTGTCCCTGAGCTTTTTTTGCTCAAGGCTAGTGCTCTACCACTTGATCCGTAACTCTACTTCTAGCTTTTGGCAGCTAATTGAAGATAAGAGTCTCCTGGGCTTTTCTTTGCTGGGATGGCTTTGAACTAAAATTCTCATGTCTCAGCCTCCTGAGTAGCTAGGATTTCAGGCATGAGCCATTTCACGTACAAGTTTTTGTTGTTGTTGTTGTTGTTTTGGTTGGTCGTGGGGCCTGAACTCAGGGCTTGGGCACTGCCTGTGCGCTTTTCAGCTCAAGGCGAGCGCTCTACCACTTGAGCCACAGCACCACTTCCAGTTTTCTAGTGGTTTATTGGAGATAAGAGTCTCACGGAGTTTCCTGCCTGGGCTGGCTTTGAACCATGATCCTCAGATCTCAGCCTTCTGAGTAGCTAGGATTACAGGTGTGAGCCACCAGTGCCTGGCTCACGTACAAGTTTTTATGTGGACATATCTGGGTTTCTCTGTGTGGATACTGTGCTTAATTGTCTGAAGACTGGCAGACTGTTTTCCAAAAGGCTACCATTTCCATTCCCACCGGTAGTGTAAGAGTTCTAAGCCCTCTATCATTTCACCAGCATCCTTTCCAATTATGACCACCTTCATTGGTTTCAAGTATTGTAGTATCTTATGTGGTTTTGATTTGCATTTCTCCAGAATAAATGACATTGAACTTCTTTCCACCTTCTTGATGATGCTGTTTGGGTCACAGAGGTTTTTAATATCCAGTATGTATTTATAAATGTGGGAAAGACAGGCAGCAATGATGAGGGGTAGATACATAGACAGTTAAAACTACCTCCATTTAATGCAGTAAGTTTGGCTTACAGTGGCCACAGACATTTGTTGTTTGTGAGACAGAGTCTCCCTAAGTAGCCCAGATTGACCTAGAACTCCTCTTATAGTTCAAACTGGATTTGAACTCAAGATCATCCTACCTCAGCTTCTGATTGCTGGAATTGCAGGTGTGTGCCACTATACCCAGTTATAGCTATGTTTGGTAAAATACAAAAATGATTCAACTGGGGCTGGGAAGGTGGCTCAGTGGTAGAGCGCTTGCCTTGCATGCCTGAGGCCCTGGGTTCGATTCCTCAGCACCACATAAGTAAAAAAGAAAAAAGCCGGAAGTGGCGCTGTGGCTCAAGTGGCAGAGCACTAGCCTTGAGCTGAAAAGCTGAGAGACAGGGCCCAGGCCCAGAGTTCAGGCCCCATGACTGGATCCCCCCCCCCCAAAAAAAAGTTGTACTATATTTCAACAAGTAAAACAATGCTACAAATAAAGAAAGCCAAAAATTAAATATTAATTAATAAAATAAAAAAAAAATCAGCGTTTAAAAAAAATGATTCAACTGGATGCCAGTGGCTCATGTCTATAGTACCAGCTATTCAGGAGCTTAAGACCTGGAGGACTGCAGTTCCAAGCCAGTCCAGGCAGAAAACTAACCAGCAAATGCCAGATTGGAGGCATTGCTGGACTGGGAGATGTCACTGAATTGATAGAATGCCAGCCAAGAGCAAGAAAACCCAGTGAGAATATGAGGTCCTGGAGCTGGGAAGGTGGCTCAGTAGTAAAGTACTTGCCTTGCATGCATGAGGCCGTTGGCTCAATTCCTCAGCACCACATAAACAGAAAAATCCGGAAGTGGGGCTGAGGCTCAAGTGGTAGAGTGCTAGTCTACATCTGAAGAGCTGAGGGACAGTGCCCAGGCCCAGAGTTCAGGCCCCATGACCGGCAAAAAAAAAAAAAGAGAATATGAGGTCCTGAGTTCAAACCCCAGTGCTACCAAACAAAAAAAAAATCAGGACAAATGAGGGAGGGAAGCATACACCATATGTATAAACCTGAATTCAATGAAATAGGTTGACATCACTCTAAGAGCATCCTTAACACCAGGGACTCCAAGTGTACAGAGGAACATGCTATAGCATTCATGGTCTCTCTTGGGCTTGGGAAAAGAGAGCTGGTTGGGAGGATGTGCTTTCTCCCCAGATCCATCGAAGTCTACGACACTGTTGTATTATCTTACCATGCCTGGATTTCTGCAGCAACATTAAACATTTTGCTATGAAGTCATTTTCAACAGGTATTCTTTCCTCTTACCTAAGGTAAGAGGCTGTAAGCCAGAGCAGCTGTGTTTGGAACAGAGCCTGAACCTTCCTGATCTTGGTCCTGTCAGGTGCCAATCGATAACTAGGAGAGAATCCCCTACTCACACTTAGAAATTTAAAAGCACAAGGACAAAGGGTGACAAATACCTTAGTGTACTCACTAGACACTATGTTGAAAATTAACTATACCACTTGTACATAGGGATGGGAGGGGAAAACAGAGTAAGGGAAGGGGTGACATTGTCCCCAAAACAAATGTACTTGTTACGTTAGATAACTATAACTCCTCTGTACATCACCTTTATAATTACAATAAACAATTAAAAATTAAAAAAAAGCAGTAACAGACCAGCTCTATTGTCAGCTGTGAGGGAACTGACAATTCTTATCAGCACCTTCTAGAAACCTACTCTCAAAACTGAAAGCAGCTTTTGCTGACATCTGCTCCTTCTGGGACTCTGATATTTTTATTTATAAAAATGACGCTCTTATCCCTAAATAGATTCTTATTTTCAGTGGGCTTTCTCTCTTTGAAGGGTGCCTGAGGCTTATGGCTCTGCTGTCTGAACCCTTGGTGTAGGGCAGACCCTTCGTCTATGTCAGAAGTAAGGCTGGGAGATGGAGGTGATCCCAGTCAGAAAATCAAACCACCATCTCCTTTTACCTGGAGTTGGATTTCTCCTTTGCTCTCCTTCCTTTTTCTCATCTGCCTCTGTCCAGGAAGGGAAAGCTTACAATTAGCAGTAATTACCCTGAGTTTACCCTGTGGCTTATCTGAAGAGACAGACAGTAGGTACAACCTGCTGCCTGGACACTTTCTCTTCTCCCTCTTTCTTTCTTTCTTTCTTTTCTTTTTTTTCTTTTTTTTTTTTTTTTGGTTGTGGGGGTTTGAACTCTGGGCCTGGGTCCTGTCCCTCAGCAGTTCAGCTCACCACCACTTGAGCCATAGCGCCACTTCCAGTGTTTTGGTGGATAAGAGTCTCACAGACTTTCCTGCCTGGGATGGCTTTGAACTGTGATCCTCAGCTCTCAGCCTCCTGAGTAGCTAGGATTGCAGGTGTGAGCCACCAGCACCCACCTTTCTTCTCCCTCTTTCTAAACCTTTCCTCCCATTATTCCCCTTAGCTGCCTAACATGTTTGGTGACCTTCGGTCCACGTTTATTGCCTTGATGATTGGATCCTATGCCTCCTCAGCAGTCACCTTTCCAGGAATCAAGGTGAGAGTGTAGCCATTTGCTTATCCTGGCATCTTGGCTGAGGCCTCCCAAAGGCTATGCCACCCTCTCTGGGGAGAGGAGGGGGGGAGAGGAGAGGAAGGAGAGAGAGAGGGAGTGTATTGTGGGTGCTAGGGATGGCCCCTCCACACCCGGGCAGGATGCACCTGTTACCACAGAAGTAAGAGAAGAAAACCATGGGGCTATCAGGGACGGGTGATATGAGTATGTCATTGTAGTATATGACCCAAGTCCCCCTCCCCCACCCTGTTGTTATTGGGCTGTTTTTCCCTATTAGCCAAAGTGCTGCACTCGGCCAAGTTAGTTCAGCTGTTTCCCTCCCAGGCAGGATTCTGAGCCTGTGGAGGTCAGGATAAAGCCACTGCTTCACTGTCCACTGCCAGTCCTACAGCTGTGCCAGAGCTCTGGCCGGGGCTGGCACCAGCGCCAAGTTGAAGCCATACTTAGACATCCAGGAAGTGCTGTGGTGATGAACAGCGTAGGCCAGACATCTGGAATCAGGGTGTATGGGGAGGGATCCAGTCAGGTGTCCTGTGGACTTTCTCTTGCTCTCAAATGGTGGAGAAGGCTACATATCCCTGTTCTGCCAAGTGGCCAAAAGCCAGGCTCCTTCCTGTGCTTCCAGCACTTTGGGGACCCTTATGTTGGTTCTCATGACAATAACTGCTGGCATGCTCAACACCTTCTAGGCTGAGTACTCAGCTCTCCCACTACTAGGGATCACATGGTTCCACAGAGGCACATCCCTTGAATATGGAGGGGTACCTGCCATGCGTACTCTTTAAGAGAAACACCAGTGGATGAGGCTGGCAAGGTCCTGTCTCCAGGGAGCTAGGCTGATAGCAGACAAGTAAAGGGCTCAAAAGGCAGCCAGTGCTGTTCACTGTCAGCCTTGAGGCAGGTGTGACAGTGACAGGGTGGTTGTCCGCGGCCTGGCCAACACAGTGATATTTTGGTTCAGATTGCATGCACAAGGCAGACAAGTTGAGATTTTTGGATCTTTTTTTATCAGTCGTGGGGCTTGAACTCTGGGCCTGGGCGCTGTCCTTCAGCTCTTCAGCTCAAGGCAAGTGCTCTACCACTTGAGCCACAATGCCACTTAGGTTTTCTGGTGGTTTATTGGAGATAAGAGTCTCATAGACTTGCCTGCCAGGGTTGGCTTTGAACGGTGATCCTCAGCTCTCAGCCTCCTGAGGAGCTAGGATTACAGGCATGAGCCACCAGTGCCTGGCTAGATCTAAGGGTCTCTGATGACCTAACAGGTGGGCTGACAAGGGTGTACCTCCTCACAAAGCTCACGATGAGAAAGGGCAGCCAGGTGCCCCCTGCCTGCTTTCCTACTCTGGCTTCCTCCTGCTAACTCTGCCCGCCTTGTCCCCATCTCTACCCCATTGTGCCAATCAGCTCATCTACGATTCTGGTGCCTCCTTCATCATCATCCTGGTGGTCTGGGCCGGCTGCTCCGGGCTGGTTTTCCTCAACTGCTTCTTTAACTGGCCCCTGGAGCCCTTCCCGGGGCCAGAGGACATGGACTACTCGTAAGTTGGCATGTGCTTCTTCACCCCACCCTCATGCCAGCCAGGGTCCTGGGCCGCACCAACAGACACCCTTCTGTGGCCTCCAGGGTGAAGATCAAGTTCAGCTGGCTGGGCTTTGACCACAAGATCACAGGGAAGCAGTTCTACAAGCAGGTGACCACGGTCGGCCGCCGCCTGAGCGTGGGCAGCTCCATGCGGAGCGCCAAGGAGCAAGCCGCGCTGCAAGAGGGCCACAAGCTGTGCCTGTCCACTGTAGACCTGGAAGTGAAATGCCAGCCAGATGCTGCAGGTACCCACCACATAGCCCTCACCGCCTAAGTCAGTCTGAGATGCCATAGGGGCATCTACCAGCCCCCTACACCTATGACCTGGGGGGCGGGGGCAGGCAGCAGTGGCTTCAGATTGGGTGGGTATTGTCTCACTGAATTCCCACTTCATCCTCAAAGGGGTGACGACACCACCAGCCTTGTTTTATAAGAGAACTCATTAACAGAGAAGTGGAGGGGGAGGGGCACTATTCAATTCAGGGTCGGTAGGGCCTCCCAGGGCAGGGTCCTCTTCTCACGTCCCCTCCTTATGTCCAGCACGAGGTCAGCACATTGGATCTCCCTCCCTGGCACTCAGCCCCCACATGGTAGGTGGGCCCGTGTTCCCAGCCCTGAGCCCCCACCTTCTTCCCACAGCCGCCCCCTCCTTCATGCACAGCGTGTTCAGCCCCATCTTGCTGCTCAGCCTGGTCACCATGTGTGTCACACAGCTGCGGCTCATCTTCTACATGGGAGCCATGAACAGCATCCTCGAGTTCCTGGTCAGCGGTGACCAGAAGACAGGTAGGTGTCCCCTGGGCCCCAGGGAAGAGTACCTCGAGAGTCCTCGGTCATTCCCACTGGCCACCCCAGCTGCAAGGTGTGAGGCTGAGCTGGATCAGCGGGGCCTGTTTGTTCATCCGAGCTCAGCTGTTTCGTCACTGCCAGCCTGACAGTTCTCTTGTGTCCCTGTCAGAGTTTCCCGGCTGAGGGAGGGAGGGAAGAACTAAAATAGCTCCTTGTGTTTAGGGTGTGGGGTGTCTGTTTCCAGTACTGGTGGGTGGGGGAGGCCTCGTGTGTGTGTGTGTGTGTGTGTGTAAGTGAAAACAGTAGAGCTTAGGCCTACACCTGGGGCTGCTGATGGCAAGTCCAGCCCCACCTGGATTCCTGAAGACCGCAAGCATGGCACCTGGAGACCTGGGATCCCAGGGGGAGGATGTGTGTCCAGTGGGCACAGCAGTTGGGTCCACACTGGGATCTGTGTCCTATACTGGGAAACAGGGAAACATAGGCTTCCCAGGAACAAGTAATCTAGTCGAGGCTTGTTAGCTCCGGTAAACAGGACTGATAACCAGCAGGAAAACAGCAGCGGAAGGTCTTCAGCTGGGGAGAGCCTTTGCTCCCCTGTGCTTTCCTGGGCCAGCTGAGTCAGCGTTAGTCACTCTGTAGCAGTGGGACCAGCAGTCCTCTTTGTTGGCAGGCTCATTGGCGTGTAGCGTTCCTTTGTTGGTTTACTTGTTTGTACCGAGGAGATGATGCTTTGTAACGAAGCAAATATCAGTTTGGAACAGGAATGAGAAGTTCTGCTTTCACAAAAGAAACAGACATCCCAGGGAATGGGATAATATTGGACAAATGGAGAATCCAATGTGCATAACTTTGCACAAAATTTATAAACAAACAAATGAAAAAGCTAGGCAAGAGCACAAGGCCTGGAGTTCAAGCCCCCAGTGCCAGCCAGCCAGCCAGCCAGCCAGCCACACACACACACACACACACACACACACACACACACACACACACACACACACACACACACACACTAGTTTTGAACGGGACACCATAGCACTAGCTATGTAATCCTAGCTTATGTGGGAAGCTGAAATAAGATTATAAATTTGAGGCCAGCCTGGGCTACATAGCAAGTCTCTGACATTTTTTAATTTTTTAAAATCAGTTTCAAGGAGTAGAGGAAATTGGGGCAGGAAGTTTGGTCTGGCTCTGCCTAGAATGGCTGCTGCTGGATCAAGAAGAAGGTAGGGGTATCAGATGGCATGGCAGATTCTTGCACCTTTCTCTCTCTGTCTGAGAGCAGCAGGAAGTAACTGAGAGAGCAGCATTCCCACAGGGTCATACGGTAGTGGAGGACTCAGTTTCTGGCAGGCCTTCTGTACCCAGCACGCCACTTCCCCATCACGGTACTGGCCAACACTGTCGGCCTGACTCACCATCCTGCCCATGATGAGGCACCAGCAGACAGCTCTCTCTCTCTCAGATTCTTCCTGTGAGCCTGGCATAGGCTTAGCCACTTCTGAGCACTCTGAGGGAGTGCTCTACCTGCAATAGTTGTTTCAATTTCTGCCACTAACTTCTCCTTGTGCTTTTCTTCCTTTGCTTTCTCAATGCAGTGATGGCCACGGGTAAGCAGCGGTTCATCCCAGCCAGACTGTTCAACGAACACCCAGAGGTGTCTTACCTTGAACACCCCTCTCGACTGAACTAGTGGGGGGTAGGGTGGGGGAGCAATTAACTTTCAGCTATTTCTCTGACACCCTCCCTACAATAATTTTAAGTCTCTTTGAAGATGGATGCTCTTACGTCAAAGTTCCTGTGACTGGTGCCTTCCTGGTATATTTCTAGAGGCAGGAAAATAATGGCTAGTCACACAAAGCCTCAATTGTGGGCATTGGTAATTTTGTGGTTCCCAAGTCATAGTAACTTCCTAGAACTTCTGGTGGGGAATCATTGTGACATACTGGATTTCATTAGCCATTTCTGGGAAATAGATGGGAATTTAGAGCAGAAAATTAGGTGACCTACCACTTGATCAGTTTTGATTGAGAAGCTAAGGGCTCTGGGCTTCCCTCAAAACCTGTGGTGAGCAAGGGGCTTGGGGGAAGACTCCAGAAGAGCTCCTGTAGACTCCAGCCCCTTCAGCTTTTACCCAGCCTGTCTCCAGGCCCCTGTGACACATCACACTGTATTTTTTTCCCCAGTTGCCCTCTACACCTCCATCTTCGGTGCGCTCCAGCTGCTCTGCCTGCTGACGGCCCCTGTCATCGGTTACATCATGGACTGGCGGTTAAAGGAATGTGAAGATACCTCTGAGGAGCCTGAGGAGAAAGATGCCCCCCAGTGCGTAGGCCCAATCCCAGCCCCCAGAAAAAAAGAACACTGAGAAAGACTACCTTGGCAGGGCCAAGGTGGGCAGGATCAGTTTTACAGGCAGAAGGAAGGGTGAGAGAGAAGTGGGCCCTGTACCCTCTCCCGAGTCCTTGAGTGCTCATTGGCTCTTCAGTGTCTCCCACCTCTTCTTTGATGCACTAAAGCTTGGGAGGGACTGAGCTAGATGAAAGGAGAGGAGACACCAGAGGAAAGACCAGGGCCCCATGAGGGCTTCAGATCCCTGGCAAGGCAGCAGCATGGGGCCATCATAAAGCCAGAGTTTATGCCTCAGGGTTTATCCCACTCAGTTCTAGTAGAAAGCTGCTACAACCAGATGCGCTAATGGATTTGTTGATGATTGTGAGGATTAAACAAGGTGCTGCAGCCCTACTTTATAGAAGGGCTGGGCTCTAAGATCAGAGTATAAGTTAAACTTGTCTTCTACAACTCCACCTTAATATAATAAGCTGTTTTTTATTGTGTTAGGCTCAGTGCCAAGCACTTAGCACACAATGCTTTAGTTCAGCCTCCTGACACTATGGGAGGTGTGAACTGGTATTGTACTCATTTTACAGATGAGGGGACTGAAGCTAGGTGGTTGAGTCACCTGCCTGAGGTCACATAGTTAGCAATCAGTGGGTCTGGACTCCCTGCCCAGAATCTCTGGGTACTTGGCTTTCACTCTTGGATGTCCATGGGGTGTCGGTGTGGCTGGTGAGACTGGCATCAGTAGTAGTTAATTCACAAGGAAATAATTATAGAGAATACTCTGTTATCTAGGTCAGGCCCTACAGCCAAGGGGTTATTTGTGCCCATCCTGCTCCATCTGCTGCATATTTATTTTCTCCTTCACCCTCTCCTGCCCCCCCCAAGGGGAAATCCATTCCCTCCCCCGCCCCTCGGCTTATTATCTGGCTTATTACCAACTTGCCACCAATTGTGAACTCAGAGCCAATTGTAAAGTGAGGCTTTTGCTGCATCCAAGCCCAGGGAACCTTCTGCTTCCCTCCCCATCATCTGAGCTCCCTTCCCTGGGCAGTGTAGTGTACTGAGGGCCATCCTCCTGGGTCAGAGACTCTCTACTGAGTTTCACATTCAGTGCAAAACCCAGAAGTGGCCTGGGGAGTGTCCTGTAGCTAGTCTAGCCCCAACAGAGCCACTAAGATACTCTTGGGTCACCTGTAAGTCTTGCATCAGTCCATAAGTGAGGATCCCCTAAACCTGACTTCCTGGGAGGGCTGACTTCCTCCAGGGAGCCTCCCCAACCCTCAGCGGCTGTGTGTTCTGTCTCCACAGAGGTGAGAAAAAGAAGAAGCGTGACCGGCAGATCCAAAAGATCACCAATGCCATGCGGGCCTTTGCCTTTACTAACCTGCTGCTCGTGGGCTTTGGGGTGACCTGCCTCATTCCCAATCTGCCCCTACAGGTAGGTATGAACAAAAGAAGGGGCCAGGTGGGGAGGTGGTAGTAGAACAATGAGAAGGAAGTTTGTTTAGACACTGAAAACTATGTTGTATGTCACAGAAGCCATCAACAAAGACAGTGGGATCTTTTTGTGTGTGTGCCAGTCCTGGGGCTTGAGCTCAGGGCCTGGACACTGTCCCTGAGCTTTTGTGCTCAAGGCTAGCACTCTGCCATTTTTGGCTTTTTACTGGTTAATTGTAAATAAGTCTTATGGACTTTCTTAACAGGCTTTGAATTGTGATCCGCAGATCTCAGCTCCTGAGTAGCTAGGATTCTGGGCATGAGCCACTAGCACCCAGAGCTTTATTTAGCCACTGTTATTTATGGGCAGCTCTATGCCCAATGGGAGGTGGAGCTGTAAGGACATTTGGGTTCTTTCACAGAGCTCTTCTCCATGAAAATACATTACTCTTCTTGGTCTTTTGGGTATCTTGTGTGCCATGAATACCACCTTCATCCATTTCTTGGAACTGTGTAGGGCAGTAGTATGGTGGCTTATTTTGCATTTGTTCAAACATCTGGAAGCTGCTGTCCAAATAAGTGTGGCCAGCTGGTGGTATTGATGGGAGCATCTCCATCTAGTATAAGAGTGCCCACAGGGCCTCTGCCATGGAAAAACTGGAAAACAACAGTGATTGTGGCCTTGCATCTAGGTTTCATTATGGAGCCCAGGTTGGCCTCAAACTCAAGATCCTCCTGGATGCTGGGATTCACAAACATGTTCCAGAACCCAATTTTACACAGTATTTCTGATTTTTTGAAACTTGATATAGATTAGGAGCAATGTGAACTTTGTCACTTCCCTAGCCCCACTCTTTGGCTTGTGATAACGTTCAGGCAGTAGATTTTGTCCCAGTACTCAAACACACTTTAAAGAGACATATGTGATGGTATTGCATGAAGACTGTAGCCAAAGACCATAGGGTATGTCAGACCAGCTCCAAGAGAAAGGTAAGAGGCCCTTCTTGTTTACAAGGAGCCAGGTGTTGAGCTACGTTGAGCATGCAGTTGTGTGCACCCACAGGTAGTCATGAGTATGTGCCAACACTGAGCGTGCAAACGGGAGTAACCCATGAGAGACTCATACCAGTTCCAGGTGGCAGTGTCCTTTCTCCTGGATCCTCCCTGGCTTCCTAAGCTGCTCTGTCTGTAAGGGTGGCAGACCCTTGCCCTGACCATCTTGTCCAGTCCAGGGGCAATGCTCAGTGGAGGACAGTTATCTGCTTTTTGTTTTACTAGGTTCATTGCAGGACAAGTTGTGAAAAGGCAGTAAGGCATTGGGAGTGCAGAGAAGGAGTTCATACAAATGTGTGTGCGCATGTGCGTGTGCATTCAGCCACAGCCCTCTCTCAACCCTGCCAAGGGCAGCCTCTGCCCCCTCTACCACCCACATTCCTGAGAACAGGTCCTAGCTGCTAAGCAAGATGGCAGGGCTGTGTATAAAACACACAAAGGGCAAATACAGGGTCGTGGTGGCAAAGCAGTTGTCTCAGGTGCCTCTCAGCGATCATTCACAGGGGCGTCTCTGAGCTTGCTGAGCTCAGTGGTGTTCTTCCCAGGAAGGGGCCATTCTAATGCTATAGAATTTTGCTAAGGAGGTGAGGCCAGCCACCTGCCAAGGACAAAGACAGATCAAGTAAGGCAGGTAAGGCAAAGATAGATCAAGGTCATGATTGGTAACTTCTTGCTCAATGTTGCACAAATGCATATTTATTCATAGAATTGGTAGCCTTGGGGGCCTATGGGAGGGCAGATGCTAATCTGTAGCATCTGCAGATGCCATGGATTAATGCTCTCATCCTGGCTGACTTCAAGCTCTCAATATGTTGACAGTGATGTGGAAGTGGAAAAAAGTGAAAAAATTCACAGTAACCCATCACTGTATGCTATTAGCTTGCATATAACAGATATAAGACACCTTCAGAGCACAGATAGCTATAAAAGAGTAAAAGAATCAGAAAACAAATGGCAGTGGCTCATGCCTATAATTCTGGCTACTTAGGGAGCTGAGATCCAGAGGATGTTGTTCAAAATTAGTCTGAGCAGAAAAGTCTGCAAGGCTCTGTCTCTGAAATAAGCAGCAAAAAGCCAGCCTGGGGATATGGCTCAAGTTGTAGAATGCCATTGAACAAAATGAGATGCCCTGAATTCAAACCCTCATACTAGCAACAGAGAGAGAAAGAGAGAGGGAGAGAGAGAGAGAGAGAGAGAGAGAGAGAGAAAGATGAGATTTGAGTATTCACTACCTTTGTTTTTAACATAATCTATTTAATTATAAGCTTATACAATTTAATTTTTAATCATGACTGTGTTTAACAACTGGCTACATAGTTCCTGAAAATGTCACAGTCAGCTCTGGGGAGATGGGGGCAGCCAATTCCAGGTTACTCCTGATTCTATGCGGAGGAATAGCTGGAGGGTGGGAGTGGGGCGGGGGAGAAGGGGATTGTCCTGGGGGGTCTGCTGCTCACGCTCTATTCTCCTTTCCAAAGATCTTCTCCTTTGTCCTGCACACGATCGTGCGAGGATTTATCCACTCTGCCGTTGGGGGCCTGTATGCCGCCGTGTAAGTCCTGGAAGCTGTGGGTGGTCTTCTGGGTGAGGAGAGGGCATGATCTGAGGGTAGGCCACATGGAATTGCGTCCCTGGGGCTGGGCCAGCCTGCTCCACCATCAGAGTAAGTACCCCAGGGTTTTTGCTGGCCGTGTCAGGAAACGGCCACACCTGGAAGCAGGTAGGACATTGGGCAGACAGTTGGATACCCAGGAGCCTTGGCATTTAACACGAAGTCATTCTTTCAACTCAGGTCAGTGCCTCAGGCCTCATGAATTGCTACTCAGCTGAGTCCTGGGACTGCCTCTGGCTGCTCATTAGGACAACCCAAAGCTAAATGTTTAAGTTCAAATGGCTCTCAACAGGGGCAGCGACATGGGTAACTGACCCCAGAATGTGCCAAGCTATCCTTGCCCAAGGCCTCAAAGGCCCCACTACGGCCATAACCATCTTGGGCTTTAGCTGAAATGAAAGCTGCACTTTTTCCAAGCGACTACACAGCTGGCCCTCCTTTGGCTCAGGGCTTGGTCCTAAAACTGGAATCCAAACACACCATTTACCATCTCTTGACTAGCTCATTGCTTGCTGGGAGCTCCTTCTCTTCCTGAGGTTCACCAAGATTTAACCCAGAACTCCTTCCCTCTTCCAGCAGTATCCCACGGGGGTCATTCCAGGTCGGCCTATCCCCTGCCTCCCCCCTCCCCCCCCACTCCATGGAGGAAGTTGTGGCTGCCTTGGCAGGGTGTGAGGGAGTCGGGCAAGAACTGTGATGCTGAGTTTCCGTGATTACACAATGCTGCTCTGGAGAAGGGTACAGCAGAGCCAGGCCCAGCCTCCGACCTGCTCCCTGGGCACGTTTCCCAAGCCGCAGACGCCTGCTGGCACCACTCTTTCCACTTAACTCCACCAGACACCTATAGGCCCAGGGCACATCTGGTTGCAAGGGGTGGGGGAGCATCTCTTCTGAGAGTCTGGTCCTTGGGGTGGTCCAAACAAGAAAGTAACCCAGAGCCAGCACCCAACCCTCTCAATGTTCTCCTGACTCGGGCAGACCAAAGGTGCCTCTTTGGGTACTGGTACTCAGGGGGCCAGGCTAAGGTAGGGTGTGGGAAGCTCAAGAATGGCACTGGCTGTTGACAGGTCTTGATTGCTCCCACAGGTACCCCTCTACCCAGTTTGGCAGCCTCACAGGACTTCAGTCTCTGGTCAGCGCACTCTTTGCTCTCCTACAGCAGCCCCTGTTTCTGGCCATGATGGGTCCCCTCGAAGGAGACCCTCTATGGGTAAGAAGGGCCAGGCAGTGGTCATAGGCATCGCTCCATTCTGTTTCCTGGGAGCTGGGAGCCTTAAGGACAGGCTGTTTGGGAACTTGGGTTAGGACAAAATCAGGTCACCTTTGTGAACGTTGCCAGGCAAAAGGAGAAAAATGGTCTTTCTGTACCTGATTTGGGAAAAACAGAAGAGAGTTCCTGTAAATCCTGCCAAGGGCCAGGATTCTTAACCAGGTACCATGAACTGTCCTGATCTCAGGCAGGGCCCTGAGGGCAGCTGCTGAGTGGGCAACCAGGAAATTGGGATATTGGAATGTGGAGTGACAGGCCTTGGGATCTGTGATCTGTTGAGCTTTTTTTTTCTTTACGTTTCTTATGTGTTTTTTTGTTTTGTTTTGTTTGCCAGTCCTGGGGCTTGAACTTAGGGCCTGGGCACTGTCCTTGGGCTTCTTTTGCTCAAGGCTAGCACTCTACCACTTGAGCCATAGCCCCAATTCCTGCTTTTTCTGTGTATGTGGTACTAGGGATTGAACTGAGGGCTTCATGCATACTAGGCAAGCAGTCTACCACTAAGACACATTCCTGGCCCTCTTATTATATTTTATTTTTATTTTTTTGTCGGTTGTGGGGCTTGAACTCTGGGCCTGGGCGCTATCCCTCAGCTCTTCAGCTCAAGGCTAGCGCTCTACCACTTGAGCCATAGTACCACTTCCGGTTTTCTGAGTGGTTTATTGGAGATAAGAGTCTCACGGTCTTTCCTGCCCGGGCTGGCTTTGAACCGTGATCCGCAGATCTCAGCCTCCGGAGTAGCTAGGATTACAGGCATGAGCCACCAGTGCCTGGCCCTTCTTATGTTTTTGAGGCCAGTCCTGGGGTTTGGACTCAGATCCTAGGCACTGTCCCTGAGCTTTTTTTTTTTTTCCCTCAAGGCTAGTGCTCTACCACTTGAGCCTCATGTCCATTTCTGACTTTTTTTTTGGGGGGGGGTAGCTAATTGAAAATAAGATTACTGACTTTCCTGCATGGGCTGGTTTTGAACCCTGATCCTCAGATCTCAGCCTCCTGAGTAGCTAGGACTATAGGCATGAACCACTGCTACCTGACAGGTTGAGTTTTTCTGTTTCATTTTTTTCCCCTTCTGCTGTGACCACTTTCCTTCCCCAAACCCAAGTGAAGGTACGTGTGGGAAGATGCTGAGCTGGGTCCTGAAGTGACCACAGCCCCTGCCCCTGGTGATGTCCTCTCCTCCCCTTCCCCAGGTGAACGTGGGGCTGCTCATCATGAGCATGCTAGGGTTCTGCCTGCCCCTCTACCTGATCTGCTACCGGCGCCAGCTGGAGAGGCAGCTGCAGCAGAAGAGGGAAGATGACAAGCTGTTCTTGAAGATCAATGGCTCATCCAATCGGGAGGCTTTTGTGTAGCACTACCACCTCAGAACTGGGACCTCTTGTCCATGCTTCAGTGACTGACTGACATACTCCTCCCCACCCTAGAGGACCCCACCCCCTCCCCACCAGGATCATCTCCTTCACCATGTTGGAATGAGTCCACACTTCTTCCCAGGGCCCTGGTACCTGCCTCAGACCTCAGTGGTGGAAGGATGGGAGAGAGCCCAGGACAGGAGAGGAGAAGCAAGGCTGCCCTGGCCTTGCTCTTACCCCCCAAGGTCCCTAAGGGACCCTGAGGCCTTGGGTCTCATGGTGACTGCAGGAGGAACGAAGGGTACCCTCCAGCAGGCAGGCTTGTTTTCTTGCTCTCTCTCAAGAGTCTGGATTCTGCCTCTTGCCAAAGTAAAGGGGCCTGACATCCACTTCCCACCACCTGCCCTTCAGCTGCATGCCCACTGACCACGCCTGCCTGAGGACAAAGGCTTCACTGTCTGCACCCCTTGCCTGGCCCCTCACCTCCTCCCTTGGCCAGTCTGCAGCTGCCTGAGGAAGGAAGACCCCGCTTCCTGTTGTTGGTGCTAACCCCTTTGTAATCGCAGCCCCCTGTGGCCTCTCCATGGCCTGTTCTCTCATTGGTGGCCTGGGGAGGGGATGGAGGCCAGGATGATCATACACAAGACCCCAGGGGTCATGGGCAAGGCTGATGGGTCATCCATCACTCATCTCCTCCCTCAGAGTTGGAGGGGAGAACATTTCCACTGCCACCCTGGGTCCAGTCTGCAACCTGAAGGGAATTAAATGGACACCACTAGGTCAGCCTTTCCCCCACTCCACCCCATAGCTGTTAATGTGGGGCAGTAGTAAGGCTGTAGCTGGCAGACATGGAGGTCCAGGCCTAAGAAGGGAAGTAGATTGGTGAATGACAGAGGTGTGTGTTCTTCCCATAGGGTGTGTGTATATACATGTGTGTGAGATGGTAGTGGGCTCTAAGGTTTGCCCTTATCCCCACAGACCAGATCAAGAGCCAGCTAGGTCTGCAGCATTCCTAGGATATACCTGAGCAGCCTTTTTTTTCTTAGCCAGTAGCTTGTCCATGGCTGTCGGGCCACAGTGCCCCCTGCTGGCAGATTCCACCAGAGCCTCGGAGCTGTTTACTTGGAAAAGGCCAGTCCAGCCTGGCTCACTACCCCACTCACCTTGACCATCCCTAGAAATGTGTCTGAGACCTCCTGGGGTGCCAAGAGGAGTGGGTTGATTTTTAGGTCTGTAGTTGTTTTCTCAAGTTTTATCAGACTTATTTTTATAAAGCAATAAACCCATTTTCCTCCTGGTAAGGGATGCCCTCCTAGCATTATCAGTTGACCGCTGCATGTGCCTGACTCGAGGTACAGAGGAAATGGCAGGGTAAGGTATTCTGCCACTGACTAGCCTCACAAGCTGTACCTTGCTGATAACCATCTCCCTGGGTGGCCTGTCTGAGGAAGAACAGTGGGACAGGAAAAAAATACACCCTACTTTAGATTTCTTTTTTAAATTTTACTGTGTGGACCTTTCCCTCCCCAGCTGTCTGTCCCAGCCACACTGACTAATCCTGACCCCTTCTCATCATCTACACAGATTTCCTGTCACTGTTCCACACCCTGAGGGTTCCTCCTAAGTGCAAGTCAGGATGACCCCAGAAAACTGCAGGCTCAGAGAGCAGCATCAGGATATGGTGGGGGTGGACGGGATTAGCAGAGATGAGGAAGAGCAAATTTAAGCTCCACAGTCACAATGGACCACCGAATCTCCTAGGCTTCAGTCTAATCAAACATTAAAAAAAAAAAATCCAACCCAGTTGGGTACTAGTAGCTCATGCCTGTAATCCTAGCTACTCAGGAAGACAGATGCAGAGGATCATGGTCCAAAGCCAGCCGTGGTAGAAAAGCCCAAGAGAATCCATTTTCAAGTAACCAGCAAAATGCTGGACTGGGGACATAGCTCAAATGGTAGAGTGCCCCACAAGCAAGCAAGTTGATGGAGCACTCAATTGTCAGTACTAGCACATACATACAAAAAAAAATCACAATCCAAACATAATGAATTAAGGGTGTAGCTCAGTGATAGAATACGTGTTTAGCATGAGTAAGACTCTGGGTTTGGTCCCCCAAAAGCACGGAATTGTCATTTTCCAAACACTGCCCAGAACACTGGTCTGTGATGAGTTAATAGTTATTCTAGTTAGAAAAGTTTTATAGTGAAACACAGGAAATGCTGAGTTAAAGTCAAGCCCATTTCTTCAAAGCAAGCACTCAGCACTTTTCCCCACATTCACAAGGGTTGGGGCTGTCCAAGAAAGGGATGTGGTATCAGGCATGGTGGTGCGCACCCATAATCTCAGCACTCAGGAGGCTGAGCAGAAAGATCGGGAACTTGATGCTAGCCTCAGCTACAATGACTGTCTCAACAAACCAAGACAAGAAAAGGAGAAAAATGTTGCTGAGACCTGGCTATAGCCACTGAAGCCATCTCCCCACTGTGTAACTGGATGGCATCAACAGTGGAGGCTTCTGGGGTTTGGGTGACAATGGCAGACTCCATGTCTTGCTTCTGCCTTGGATCTGGTGCCTTGCTGCATGGTTTGAAGAGCAGGATAGTTTGAAGAACCTCTGGCAGCATCGCTTCCAGCTGGGAACATGGAGGTTGGACAGTCAACCTGTCTGTCCCTAGCAGTGTCCAGTCCCAGCCTCCCTGAGTTGTGGCACTTTGAGGAAAGATGCTGGCATTGAGAAACTAGAAAATGAGAGCAAAAGCTGGGCACCAGTGGCTCATGACTGAAATCCTAGCTGAGATCTGAGGCTCATTGTTCCAAGCCAGCCCAGGCAGGAAAGTCCGTGAGACTCTTTATTTTCAATTAAGCAACAGAAAACCAGAGGTGGTGCTGTGGCTCAAAGTGGTAGAGCATTAGCCTTGAACACAAAAGCTCAAGGACAATACCCAGGCCCTGAGTTCAAGCCCCATGACCAACAAAAAATAAAAAAGGAAAGAAAGAAACAAGGACAGAAAGCAGTCCATGGACAGTGGTGTAGGAGGCAGAGGTGTAAGCCAGTAAAATAAGCCTAGTCAAGGGCCATTCTACCCTTACTTTTATAGAATAGAAGGGTTACATAGTTTCTTGTGATCATGCAATTGTGTTAACAGTCTAGATGAAATAGACATTGTCATCCTTTGACACTTGGAAAAATTAAGGCCAAGAGAGGCCAAGTAACTTGCCTGAGGTTAGAACCTGGACTCCAATGCAGGTCTTAAGTCATCAGAGAAGCTAATTTCCCTTTAGACCAGAACATCCCATTCCCTGCTGCAGCCCAGGGTGCCCCAGCCTCTAGTTGGGCAGCAACAGCTGGACAAAAAGGAGCAAGCTGAGATATAGTCTCTATATTTTACATGTAGTGCTCCCTCTGGAGTAGCGTACATTCTATTCACCCAGTGGAGTCATTTGAGCCCTGGAAGTTGATGGATCACTTGGTGGCGGGGGCAACTCTCTGGTCACTCCAGATTCTCACGCCCCGAGATGGAGACCTGATCACAAGCCAGGGCACCGAGTGGCCACAGCCCTCCCATCTTCCCCCTTGTCCTCCAGGCTCCCATGGGGGAATGAACAGGAAGTGGATTCAGAGCAGGAGCAGTGTGGGAGCCCCTCTTCTCTAGTCTCCCTAGATCCTGGGATCCAAGCACTCTGGGCCTCTGTCTGCAGCTTCTCCTGCCAGCCCTTACCCACAGTCAGTTCTACCTTGGCAGAGATCAAAGGCAATATACAGGCCCTTTAGGGACTCCTCTTCACTCTTCCCCTCCTGTGCCCAGTATGGACATAGTCAAAAGAACTTTACATAGTCTTACTATGTCCTAGGCAATCTAAGGGCATCACACTGCACTAGAACCCAAGGGCACTGGAAACAGAGAGATCTGGAATTAGGATCACAACAGTAAGGACTGTCCTAGACTTTAGTGCAAGTACTTTCAGCTAAATAGAGTTGGGAGTGCTTCCCAGGAGTCGGGGGTCTAACTATATCTCTAGCTTCAAATGCTGAATCCTCCTGCCCTAGCTTTTCGGGTGCTAGTGCTGTGATTACAACATACATCACCAAGCCCTGCTAAGTGGAGCTTTGATGCACTTTGATGAACCTGAGCAGATGGTAGATGGTGAGGGGCAGGGACAAGCTATAGGGAGCCTGTGGTAAAGAGTTCCTGTAAGGAGTTCTATTCTGCCTTCTCCACAGAACCTGGCTGCAGGGGCCATTTCAGTAGCAGTCACCTTTCCTGTGAAGGACTCAATGACAGATTCTTAAGGGGCTTTTGGGACAGAGAGGTGCCTTATCTGTGCTAATTATCAGGGGCTCAATTTCCCCAAACACATGGTTTATGAGGGTAGTAGCCCAGGGCCTCTGAATCAGAGGGATTGCAGGCCGCAATATTTCCTTGAGGGTGGGATGTCAGGGTGAACAAGTAGGCTCTATGAGATTTTCCCCATACCCTGACACCTGGAGCCTGATTTGGGAGCGGGGTGGGGGTGGGGGCGTTTAAGAAGCTTCCTAGGGGTCAAGGAGGCTCTGCATGCTTCATGAGGTTGGCCTGTCACCTGTCACCACTCTGGCATCTCCTTGCCAACATGGAGCCACTGCCTGTGTCCCTTGGTCTCTGAAGTTAGTCACCCTTCTGGGCAGATCTAAGATTGGATAAGGGACACTGGCCATCCCTGACCTTGGTCCTTCTCAGATAGTGGCCCATCTCCCCATGCTGAGGAGACACTGAGGAGCAAAGGTCACCAGGCCTGACCACATTCTCTCTGGTGCACTTAAGCAAGTCTTGAGCCTCAGTTTCCTCATGTGTAACACAGAGTCAATGGTACTCACCAGGAATGACTGCAGGGGTGTGTAAGTAAAGCGCCTGCACAGTAGTGTATCTGGCAGTTAGCAGGCACTTAACCATGTGGGTATTATTTGATGGCTCTGGAAGAGGGTAGACAGCACAGGGAACAAGGCATCCCCACCCAGATGACAGGACACCTACTTAAGGTGGCCCTGACCAGGATGGACTTGCAGCCAAGTGGACAGTGAGAGGTGTCCCTGCTGACCCTGCTCCTCTCAGAATTCCTGTCTCAGCAAAGCCTTAAGAAGTGATTCCCGTGACCACTTTTCCTTTATGTTGTTCCCATAAGACCTTTGTGTCTGGATTGTCTCTAAATGGGGCAGGTTTATACTGAATGGGATGACTCCAATTCTAAGCCATGGGGGCAGGTCAAAGCACCTCCACAACCACTTTGGACAGCTGTTTGCCTGGGCTTCTAAGTGTGTGTGTGTGTGTGTGTGTGTGTGTGTGTGTGTACAATGTGCGCACGTGCATGGATGTGCACGTGTGTGGTCCAAGACTTGTTCCAAGTATGTCTGGGTATGTCTGTGTTTAAAGAAATGTGTGCCATGACACCTGGATGGAGAAGCAATGGCCTTCCCTGGCTCTATCTTTTTCGGTTGCTAGAAGGAACATCTAGACAAGCCAGGTTCAGGGTTCAGGGTCCAGGGCCCAACCTAGGCCTCAGAGAGGCGCCTGAGGGAAATCCATTCTCAGTGTTAACCAGGGTCACACAGTGTCACTGACAATTCAGTGACCCTGGTTCTTCCCTGCTCCTTCGCTGTTCCTTGCACATGGCCTACTCCTTGGCACACAGTAAGCACTCAATAAATGTCTGCTGAGAATGACTAAGAATTGCTTCCTCCATGTCTCCTGTGTTTCTTTCTCCCCTGATCATGTATCTTGTGTCCAGAATTCCTGTCCCTCCTGAAAATACATGCATACTGATGTCCACCCTCTTAGGCTGCCATAGCTGCTTTGGCCTTTTGTTCTTTGAGAAAAGTGGGCAGGACAAAGGAAAGGGTCTCCCAATGGAAAGGCGGGAATCCCAAGGCTGCTGCTAAATCCTGGTTCTGTGTGTGTGTGTGTGTGTGTGTGTG